TTTATGAAAAAATAAATAGTGGAGAATGTGCTTAGTTTTTAAGCCCAAATGAAAGTTCATCATAGGCAGAAAGGGATTAATGGTTCTTTCCTTTTCCCTAAAGAAAAACCAAAGGTTCTACAGTATTGTAAAATTCATTAAACCAGATTCATATGTAACAGTGTATCATTTGCATCTACCATTACTTGCCAGACTTCTTAGGTATGTCGTACTTGACCGAGTCCTGGTGTGAATAGGATTCAGAAGTTTCACTGTGTGTGCTAGGAAAGAACAATTTATAGATCAAGAAATAAGTTTTCAACATTTTAATTTGTTTGCTAGATCCAATGTCATAAAACAAATGATTCCTTTCCTGCAGTCCTCTCCCCTATCTTCTCTTCCCCATTCCCACACTTCTTGGCCCTGGTCCCGCAGTATGAAAGAACCTCTCTGAAACAATGCTGATTTATATGAGAGTCAATGTAGGGAAGTAAAGATCGGACTGCATGAGTCAGAAAACAGGTAAGGACATGTATTTATTAAATCAGTGCTCCTAGGAATGTCAGATATCTCCCATCACTCATTTCAAACAAGTATTTAGCTGCTAATTAGATTCAGTATCTGATTAAACTGAGCAAAAATGGGAAATTGGAACTCAAGGCAGCTCAGACTGCTCCTATTGTAACCCTCTGTCATCTAAAATGAGACCATGGTGTTTAATGTCCCTATGGGATTTGTTCCCTGGAAATAGAAGGGTGAGATGGTGCATTAAAAGTTTCTTATTACTGCTTCGTATTCTAAATACCTATTTTTACATTTTAACATATAGCTCCATCAGCCCTCCCAGACGCAAGTGGGACAAGCAGCCTCACAACCCAGTCTCCTGCATTTGGCTCACAGTCAAGCATCTATGTCTCAAAGCCCAGTGCGTCAGGCTTCCTCTTCTTCCTCCTCATCCTCCTCCTCTTCAGCTTTGAGTGTTGGCCAGTTAGTCAGCAGTAAGTATTGCTCCCTGGCTCTCCTTACATCTCCCCTCTATTTGTCCTCCTGGCTGCTGAGTTTCCTGATCTACCTTCCCTTCTTTTTTCCGTATAATAGATTGTTTATTGCTAATTACAGTGACTCTTGCCAATAAGGACTGCTAAGTGCTGTGATGGATGGGGCTAAGGGAGAACACGCCTCGAGAAACTGCAACACTAAAAACGGTCATAAAAATGGTAGCAACCCTTAACTGCCTTTGTGGACACTGGGCAGTTCTTAAAACTAAAATGTAGTTGATATTCACTGGAAATGAGAAATCTTTGAATCAGTCAGTAGAATGAATTCTCTTGTTCCAAATTTGGTGGGCATCCCCTCCTGCTTTTTAGTTAGGCTGCCTGTTCATTACTTTACTTGCATTATTGCAGCAAACTGTTTTACAAACCCAAGCACTGGACAGATCTAGAGCAAGAGACCTTCCTTGCCTGGAAAAGCTTACACAGTTTGAGCAAGAAAGAACTGTGACGTGGGAGGGGAGAGAGAAGCACACTGAAGTGAAATAACGGAGTTTCAGTGTTAGGTTTGTAACAGCTGAGCTCCTGACTAGCTCTTTTCTCCAGACCATGCAGTTCTCCGTTCTTCACTATTACCTTATCAGTCTTACCAGTCTAGTATTAACTTTGGTCTTTATATAGCAATAACTACAGGTTAAAAGTATACACAAGAAGCATTACCAGTTTTTGCACACATGCAAAAAGGTGAGTGTATTGGATGACCTTGTTTAAAGATACTGCACGTACTTTTTTCAAGTAAAAAAACAGTGTAGCACAGGCCATACTGAGGATGTAAAATATATGACTGAGGAAAGCTTATGAAGGGCTTGGAAAAACTGTCATGTGAAGGAAGATATGACAAAATCTTGGTTGGATTACTTCAGAGATTCTTTACATGGCGAAATTACTAGCAGAGGTATAGTGGTAAAATTATGCTGATATAACTCCCACTGTGCATATTTTTATTCTGGAATAAAAGCATCCACATGGGTATCTGTAAGTACATTATGTATATGTAGATATAATTATGCTGATATAAGTATACTGCTACTGCTCTGTCAGTAAATCTTCTCATGAAGACAAGCTTGTAGGAAGACAAATAAGATGCTTTGTGTTAAAAAAAAATACATAAAGTTACCTCTTGCCTATGTGGGAAAATTGGCTAACATAGCTAGTGCAGAATAAGTTACTTCTCAATGGCTAGTCCAGAATAGCTTCCCTTGTGGCTATTATTTTTCCAAAAAATATTTTAGAATAACTGTTGATGGGTACTTTATCCCACAATAGTTATTCCAGTCAATTTCCCCACGTAGATAAGCACTCTACGCAATAAAAGCAGCATGGAAGAAGCCTTTTTAAGTTTACAGGGTAAATCATTCAAAAAATCAGGAGGTGCTAGAAAAACGTTGTTTGTGCAACAGTATTCAGCTCTTCTTGTAACATGTATTTTATGATATTGATATATGTTGTGATTAAAATCATGCACTATTTTTTTCTCTTGCTTCATTCAGTGTGTTCCCAGTGGATTTGCTCTGGGGATGAATCAGACTTACATAATGAAGGAGGCTGTCGTCCCAGGGTTTGTTCCCTGCCTTATTCACTAAGCTCCTTCCCACTTAATGTAACATTTGAGACGGGGAATGGTAGAAGGGTGAAGCATGGTCTTGGTTTAGCCAGTAGAGGGCTAAGGAGCTGGAGCTCTCTATTTGCCACGTAATTCAAGTGCCACGTCAGGCAAGTAACTGAAACCATATTTTTTACAAGTGCTCCCTCAATATCCAGCTTGAGACCCTGGATTTTAATTTACAGAAGAACCTGGCATTCACAGTTACAATCCAAAGTGTACTTCCACTGTGGACGTATATAAAACACCATTTAAAGCCACAATCTAAAAATCCTTTCCTATTTGACCTAGACTGGGTACCCAAAAATGCTTTTTCCCTTTGTATCTGTCTGCTCTCTCTGAATGAGAAGGGGAAGACCCTCATCTTGTAGAAACATAGGAAAATAAATTAGTATTTAAAAAAAAAATAGAAAAGCTCAAGAGGAAGTGAGTAACTACATCTTTGGTGAAGAGCTTTAGTAGAGGTCTAGGGCCACACACTGAACCGATTAGGTGATACACCAATCAGCCTCTCAGCAATGAAGCACAATTTATTCTGTGCACTGAATGATGTAGGGGTCCGTGGAAAAAGAACTCCTCTGCTCCGAGACGATGTGACACTGTTTCATGGGCTCTTATTGCTCCAGCATTTTGTAACTTCTGAGTGCTTATTTGTGCTACTTTAAGGATGTTCTCTTAGCTTCATTTTTGTATAGGTAAATTTCAAGGTTGTTACAAAAGCAAAATAGTAAGTCAGTGATATGGTGAGGTAACGTTTACATTCATAGCTGGAAATATTAGATGTCCTCAAGAGTTTTGTCTGTTGAACGGATGGGAAAGATGATAGATTGTGTTATCCTCTTGTTGGTCCTGCTCTAAAAGGGAATAAGACACGTGCAGTGTTCATGGATTTGGCTGAGAGCAGAGGAGTATGAGGCATAGGAATATCAGTTTGGGGGAGAGGAGGAGACTAATAGACATAGACTTTTTTTACTCATTCCTCTCAGTCTTGACTCCTTCCACCGATTGTTCTGTCCCAGTCCCATTTCTTCCTCACCCTGTTTTCCACACAATCTACATTGCCCTTGTGTCAGTACTTCTATTCCTTTTTCCTCTGCCTTCGCACTGCAGCCCTTTTCCTTCAGTCAGCCATCCCTCAATTCCTCTTCCCATTTCAGTTCTCTTCCAGCTCCCAGTCAGCTTCTGTCCCTGGATTTATCAGACCATCTCAGTGTTTCTTTTACCGGTGTTTTCATCAGATAATCCCTGTCATCCTCTTCTACCTTGTTTTATCTACCCTGCTGCCACCTCTTTTCCTCCATTGTCTTTCCTCTACCCTGATGATTCTTACTGCCCTTCTCTGCACAGTCAGTCCATCTCTTCCTCCACTCCAAAATCAAATCCCTGCTCCTTATTAGGAGCTTGGACTTCCTGGAGGAAGTGCCTTGCTTGGGATGGCAAAAAGACTGTTACTGATGTAAAAGTTAGCTGCTTTACCCCTATCAAGGCCATGCTTCAAGATGTAGGGAAACTGAAGCTTTTGAAAGGAATGAGGTTGTTAACATTTTTTTATCCTGGGCAAAACAGGATAGGATTTTATTAACCGTATTCTCAGAAGCAGTTGAATTGCACTAGCTGAAATTTATCCCGCTATGGAAAATGCCGAGCAAACTTAGCCATAGTTAATACCCTGTAGTGATGAACGTAGTTACCTGTAGTAACAAATGGCACAGAGAAGATAGTTGGAGTGTTTATATTCTCCCTTACTCAGAACAGAACAGATCAATTAAATCAAAAGGTTGGGAACTCATACAGAGTAAAGAAAATATTTTTCATGCAATTAGACTGAGGAATGTGTCATGGTTAGGAATTCACTGGGACACAGATCTTAAGAGCATTCTAAAAGAGAGTGGATATCTATAGGGGTCCCCTAAAAAAAGCATGACAATAATTAATCTGCAAATGGATTCTGGAAGTGATATATAAATTTATGTATCAGGGCTTCATCCTGGACCTCGATACTCGAGACCAACAGAGTGCTTCGTGCAATGGGTAGATCAGCTTATTTCTGCCAATTACATGGAGTTCTTGCAAAGTCAGAAACAAAATATTCATCTCAATGATCCTTGGTGGTTGTCCAGCATATTTTTAATAACATTTAGCCAACAGAAACTGGAGTTAATGCTGAATGCGTAAGCCTGCGTAAGGTAGCATGTAAGATGCCAGCGTTCTGGACCCAAGCAAGCTACCCATTGGTTTCTAGTAATATGAAAATAGCCTACAAGAAAGAAAAAAAATCCAGTTAGTTCAGTAG